GACTGCAGCTGGGACTTCAGCTCCTCGTTTCTCGCCTCCAAACCCAACCCGAATCATGGCACGTTGCCGGACACAACTGTTGCTGCAAGTATCAAGCTGGAGTCGCTAGAGTATGCATGCTGAACGGCCTTGGACAACAGATCATGACACGCCCTAAACCCCTAGCGTTTGAGACCCCAAGCAAACCCTAAACCCTAAGCCCTTACAAACCAGGTCTGCAGTTTAGGGCTTGGGATTTATTCTCTTCTTCAACAACCGGACCCAAAAAGTTCAAAGATGGACCAAGTCTATAAGGCCCAAAGTTTAAATTTCTCCCGTCGTTTGGCGAAGTCACGCATAGAACATCGTGAACAGCTTCAACAGAGACACCATGAAACACTGTCGAGCATGTGATCGCTGCACCAATACGGAACACCATCCAGTCAGACATGGCGCAGCACTGGATGCAAGCGTCAAGTTACATAACTATACATGGGTCCTCATTCGCACTAGGGATCAGGATTGTGGGGGCGAAAGCTGCTTGAATCGAGCCTCTGCATTCTCCAGCTCGCGGCGAACTTGGTTAGTCTCCGACTGCTTGGTCTTCAGCCTGTGCTGCGATCTGACATTTTTCTATGAGGTCCTAACTGCGTGCATCAAGTGCCAGATCTGATTGCGACATGGCCTGGCGCGTAGATCCGCCCTCTCCTGGGTAACCCTGCCCAAGGCGTCAAGCACCTGCACGATTCGAATCGCTGTAAAGACGAATTGACAAACACCTCCTATCAGAAAGGTACAAGCCTGGAATTGGGGGTCATTTCCGACTGCGGGCTCAACATTGCCTCGTACAAGGAATCCCACTGCTTTGTTCTTCTAACGTTGTGAGTTGCTCGGAGCTCCCGTACATGATCTTCTCCAGGTGTCACGACAGCAGCTCTCTCTCTCTCTCTCTCTCTTGCTGCGCTGCAGTCCAAGTTCGAAAAACTCCGGGTTTAGCTGCTTTCCTACCTGTTATTTGAGCTGGTTCGGCTGCTTGCCGACGTGCCTCTTCCTGGACATCCAAGACGGTATTCACGTTGGCCATCTCATCATCCAAAAGATCCTGGCGCACGAGCAGTTTCCACGGTCATGGAGTCGGATGAGCACTGTTTCCTGCGTATCGACGACGTGCTCGCGGAAGATAGCCACCGCTTCCTGAGGTCGGGCAGCAGTCTAGACTCTAGACAATTCCATGAGGCTGAGTCTGAGGCTGCTGAGGATGAGGATGCAGTGGTCTCTGACAAGTCGTCTCTTCGATGGGTTTCGACCTCCATCACAGCTTTGAGATGCGTTGAGCACAAAGAGCAGGGCTTCGCACAAGGCTCAGCTCGTTGAGGTGCCAACGTCCTCTTCTTTCGGTGCAGGGACCCCTCAAAACAGGAAAAAGGTGTCAGCAAGGGTCTTAAGGATTCGGCAAAGTCTGTGCAGTGTGTTCTGGCTCTTTCAGCGATTCTGCAAGCAGGCCTGTGGAGAGTGCTTTTGTGCCGATTGTAGCGTTCAGAACCTTGGCCAAAAGAGGTGCGCAGGCCCGCACTTCGATTCGACGCCAGGAAGTCTCCATGGCACCACTTCCGTGCGAAGCAGCGGCACAAGCTGGACAAACCAAGCACTGTAGTTTGGGCCCTCTCCGACCCTGGTGCAGAATCGTTGCAGTGTAATCCAACTTCAGACTCTGGAGACTTTTGCTTCAATGAAGCATCCCAGTATTCCGAAAATGAACCCGCGCCACGCGCCCACTCCGAGACTCCAGACACCTTCGGCCCTGCTTCGTCGGAGCTCTTCGCCGAGAGCTTGTGACCTGTTGGGCTCCGATGGGCACCCGATCAACCATGGTTCTTCTGCTGCCAGCGAGTGGAGAGGTTCTCAATCATTTCAGAACTTCGGCATGTCGCATTAACCTTCCGCTCAGGAGAGGCCAGCGCATGGCAAACTCAAGAAGAGCAGAGACACTGACATTGTTTAGATGTGTTTGGGGTGTCGGCGCACACGAGCTGCTTTCTGCTGTGATGAGAACGAACGAATGAAGGCACAGGTTTCCTGGCCACTTGATGATCTGAGAGCATGGGGACCTGAAATTCTGAACATCGCCGAGCGCTTCTTATCCTTGACTTCTTCCGGTTCGCCGGTAATTGGGGGCCCTCTTCCTGACCTGTGCTCCCGTACCTTTGCTAAGCATCGCTGACATTGTCGAGCAATAACTGCGTTTGCGAACTCTAACCTGTGTGCTCCTGGCGTGTCTACCAGTCGATGGTGACTCTTGATTGATCATGGACTAAGTTCGGAAACCAACAGCCGTGCTTTGGCACCTCTGCTTCTCCTTCACCAACTCCTGGTGCTGAGTCTCGCAGAGGATTTGCACCGTCCTTGGCAGCAAAAGCTGTGAGAAGCGCAAACAAGACCATGGTCACACGTGCCAAAGTCGGATCAGCAAGCGCTTGCAGCAGCTCATGGGCCAAATGTAGGACAAGGCAGTAGCTCTGGTCTCGTGCTGCCAAGATTTGATCGCACGGGCATGCGGGCAGGGAAAAATTCCGCCTGAAAGTGTCCAGACAAG